GAAAACCACTTGACCGGAAAAGTAAGGTGCTAGTCAAACCCTATTTGTCTATTATGATTTCTAGGGCTGGGCACACACGCGGGCAATCGATTGGTTGCCCGAAAACCGCACCAAAGTTGGGCTTGCGGTGAGGGCACGAACGGCCTTCGGGCCCAAGCAGCAGTTTCGGGCCTCAACCGTTTCTAGGCGGTGCGGTGTTCGGTTGTAGACTCAAAAACCGAACAACCGAATATCACAACCGAAAACCACAACCGAAAACCCGCATTATTTTTTAAGCAAATATAAAACATATTACCTCTGCATTCAGCACAAACCCTAATTTCAGAAATTTCGTTCATTCCCTCCCAGCTTCTCTTGAAAATTTTCATCTACCCGCCTCCTCCATCCTTCGATTCTCCGCCAAAACCTTTCCCTCCACCCCTTTTAGAAAGTTTCAAATGGACTCATCGTTTATCTCTAGTATTTTCTTCTCATTTCACTTTCATTTTTCTCACTTTCTCTCCTCATTCACCCCCTTTCACAGTCAGCCAAGATCTCATCCTCTCTTTATTGTGAACTCTCTTCATCATCCATCTCTAACACTAATCTATTTTAGATTCAGCCATATCTCTACCATGCATCACCAAAAATCTAAAATCAAAGCCCAGATCTCCTGTTTCTTTCTCTCTCCATATGGGTATCTGGTAAGTTGTTATGGATCCTTTCTCTCTTTCTTTTCTTCTTCCTTTTCGACTCTTCCTATGGATTTTGATTCTGTCTCTCGTCTTCTATTTCTGCAAGTTACACAGCATCAAACCATCTGCTCTCTTCATCACTGTAATCCTTCTTTCGTCGGCAAGGTATCACTGCAGGTAAAATCCCTAATTCTTTCTCTATTTTTTCTCCTCATACAGTATTTTGAAAGTGAATCAATGTTTTGATTTTTCTTGAAATTGAACTCAGAAGATAGTGTGCGTTTTTTTTTTTTTTATTTCTTCACTCTTATTTCTTTCCTCAAACAGATTCCTTTCCCTCTGCTTCAACCATTCCTGCCGACAAATCTTCTTCTTCTTCTCCCTAGAACCAGTAAATCTCATCCAAGCTTTCACCTTTCCCCTCATCTCCGATTTCTCCTTCCATTTTCGATTTTTCCTCTCATCTTCAATCTTTGATTCAAGACAAAACCAGAGGAAGCCGGAGGTGAGTGAGTGTCCAAAACAGTAAGGATGTGCCCAGATCTGCAGATCGGTAATGGTGGTGGTGACGATAGTGCCTAGATCTGCAGATCGTTGATGGTGGCGGTGACGATAATGCTATCACCATTCCCCTCATCTCCGATTTCTCCTTCCATTTTCGATCTTTCAAGGAACCGGTTCAAGAGGGCCGTCGACGTGATTTTGGAGATGGAGTCCGGCATCCGGCTGCAACCAACGCGTCCGGCATCCGCTGCAACCAACGCGTCCGGCATCCGACTGCAACCATTGAGCTGGAACACTCCCAACATTTTCTGTCTAAAGTCTTAATAAATGACTTAAAAAAGGAGAAAAGAAAAGAACAGAGAAGAGTTGGGTTTGCAAGAAAGACCGAGCTTAAAGATATCTTAGAAAATTAAGAATATAAATATAAATA